TTTTATTCTTCAAAATACCGGAACCTTTAGTTGGTCCATCTCCTTTTAAAATAGAAATATACTTTTTCAGAATTGATGAGTTAATATTATTTGTTCTATAAGTTGATAACACTGGTGTGTCTGTTGTCATTACATCTTCTTTGATTACATTTTCTTGATGTGTATTATAAAAATCTAATTATATATATATAAATTAGTATATATAAAAATCTATTTAAATAGCTTGTAAATATAAATACCATTGGTGATATCAGTTCCTATAACTCTTTCAAGAATTTTCGCACCGCCTGGATGAATTCTAATCCATTTTCTAATATCAATTACCAATCCATCACATATGACCAGGAATGCCTACAAAAAAATATGCACATTATATACTTATTTTAAAAATTTCACACATTTTTGTTTGATTTTAAATAATATTAAAAACTTACGCCAGATTGAACGCGATCATTTATTTCTTCCCATGTAAATTCCGGAAGCCTGTTATAATTTTCGTGATCAATATAGCCATGTAACATAGATTTTCTTTCATCCACTTTAGATTCTCCTTCTATATTACATAATTTAAATACCCCTTCCATTCTCCGCCATAATTCTCCCATAAAAAATGTGATTATTAACATAAATAACCATATCGAATAAGCAACATTCCAAAACGTTGGATTACTAAATAATTTTTTTTTTTAAAAAAAAGGAATATTTTCTAATTATTTGGGAATTCTTTTATCCTTTTAGGGAAAATTAAACACTTACTATCCATATGATTTTGTAAAAGTATCAATGCCTTTCATATTAAATTAATTTAATGAAAATTAGCTTGTAAACGCATAAATATATATTATCTCAATGAACATAATTTCTTACCCAAAAAGATGTTGATCCTAAATAATTAACATAAAATAAATTATTCAATAAGATAGATATCATAAAATAAATATTATTCTTAAATCACACTCACCAAGCAGACAAAAGTAAGGTAGCACCAAAAGTTTGATGGATTCTTTTGGCAATTCTTGGATATCCTTGATTAACCGAGACAACGGCGGCTTGTCCCCAAATAGCCGC